AGCCTTGTTGGGGTCGTGTAATAAAGTGTTGCCTCCAAGTTCAAGTGTGTGCCTCCGTGAAGAACACTACAGTAGTGTATAGTGTAGTGTATAGTGTAGTGTACAAGAATACGGGATAAACCGTATGGGTTGACGCGGTGTGCTAATGGGAGCAACATTCACACGGCTGTGACCACAATGAGAGGAGACGCCCAGCGATTATGCGTCACATTCTCATGATCGTCGGCGTGGCCGCGATTGTCGATGCGACTAGCGGATGGTGAATTCACATTGCTGAGAGAGTGAGAGAAAACAAGCCCAGCTCCCAGGCCTAGGGAGACACGGGACGAACCAAGTGGAGACGGAGCGACGATTGAACGACGGGAGAGGCCCTCATTGTGGTTATGGAGGTGGTGCGATGGTGGTGCATCTGCCAGTCATGTCCAGTGGTCATGGTGATGATGTTGGTGATGATGTTGATGGTGGTAGTGGTGGTGGACGATGGTGGTAATGGTGATATTTATGAAGATCGTGGTGGTGATTATGTTGCTAATCGTGTTAGTCATGATGGTGATGATGGTCGCGTGATGATGTTGATGATGGTGGTGATGATGTTCATGATGGGGGTCATGGTGATGATGGTGGTAACGGTGGTGATGTTGATGAAGATGGTGGTGGTGGTAATTATGTTGATGGTGTTGTTCGTCATCATGGTGATTATGGTCGCGTGATGATGCTGATGATGGGCATCATGGTGCTAATGGTGATGATGATTATGTTACAATATGGGACCTTTCTAGCCAGTATCAAAATATAACAATGGGTTTTACCCTTTCTGGAAATAAAAATATTTGTGTTAAGATGGTAAAACACCAAACCGAATCATTTGTTCAAGGAATCCTGTCTGCATTAGCCACACGTACTTGTGGTGAACATGCAAACAAAAAAAACATGCTCTGATAATACATGATGCATTGTCATTGAAACTGATTGGTCCACACCAGAGACAGATGATGATGTTGTTGATGATGACGATGTTCATCACGATGGTGGTGATGATGATTGCGATGACGATGTTCATCACGATGATGATGATTGCGATGACGACGAGCTATGCCGCTGAGTCAGCCACACGCAACGCTGTCGCGTGGCTCATCCTCAGCGAGGGGCCGAGAGGGAGGCTGCGTTCGCAATGTATGTCTACTCTTCTGGATATCGACGGCGAGCAGCAATATCCGGGAAGATCCCTGCAGGGCCCGGAGAGGGGAAGAAATCTCGAATCGATTGCCACCGCGAGGGGGGCTCCACGCGTAAAGCTCGCGGCCTCCGCTGCTGCTGCTGACGCCTCGACGCACCGCGGACACGGAATGCATGGATTTGGGTGTCCGTACGTGCGTGTATTGTGGTGTGTAAGTGCACCTAGCCTGGCACAAGATGATGCAAATCATTTGGTGGTGGTGTTGCTGCTGCCTTGGCAGTGGTGCACAAGACACAGGCTGTATGGATGGATGGACGTGCGTGTCATACTGTGTGTGGGGAGCGTTAGTTTTGTGGTTAGTACGTGGCGCTCCGAACCCGACGAGACAAAGGCGGCCGGGCGTGGTGCAGGCCACCCACCCCCTCGTGTACCGTGCCGGATTTCATAGGTTGTCGTGAACAGAACTTGCCCCTAAAGTCGGGTAAGGCTACACGGGGGATCTTTGTCTTTGTGTTGGGATAAGTGGGGTGCGGTAGTGCAGGCGGTTGGAGCGCTGCGCTACGAACCCGGCCACCCGAGTTCGCTTCCCACTCACCGCCACCACCAGTGACGATTAACTGAACCGGTCCTGGGCCTCCCGTAGGTCGACTCAGACACTTTCATAGAGAAACACTGTCACAGAGACACAGGCAGAGAAAACATGAACACATCGTTTCCTTGCACAAAACAAAGATCCCCCGTATAGCCTTAGCAGACTGTTGGGGCAAGTGCTGTTAGCGAGCACCTATGAAGGCCGGTCCAGTACATGAGGGGGTGGGTAGCCAGCACCATGCCCGGCCGCTTTTGTCTCCCTAGTGGCGATGTTTCTCATTTTGAGGCTGAGTCGACCTAGAGGACCGGTTCAGATAATATAATCGGGAATCGAACTGGGGTCGCCGGGTTTGTCGCGCAGCGCGCTAACCGCTACACCACCGCTCCCCCCTTGTCGCTCCAGACACAGACACACACACACGCACCAGACAGACAGAAACATTTAGACACACACACCTGAGCTCTGCATCTGGTCACGTGACGGTACATGCAGCTCCTTGGTGTGTGTGAGTGTGTGTGTGGGGTGTGTGTGGGTGTGTGTGGGGTGTGTGTGGGGTGTGGGTATGTGTGTGTGTGTAGCGGTTAGCGCGTACCGCTATGAACATGGCGACCCGGGTTCGATTCCCGCTCACGGCCAACACCAGTGACGATTGTCTGAACCGGTCCCGGACCTCCCCTAGGTCGACTCAGCCTCACATTAGTACCTGCTGCGGTGTGTAAACATCGTCGCTAGGGAGACAAAGGCGGTCGGGCGTGTGCCGTGCCGGCCTTCATAGGTGCTCGCTAACAGCACTTGCCCCTACAGTCTGTTAAGGCTATACGGGAGATCTTTGTCTTTGTGTGTGATGGAGTTTGATGGGGAGCGATAGTGTAGCTGTAGCGGTTATCGCGTAGCGCTTTGCACCTAGCGACAAGAGTTCGATTCCCCCTCACAGCCAACATCAGTGGCGATTATTTGAGCCGGTCCTGGGTCTCTCCTAGGTCGAGTCAGCCTCAAATGAGTACCTGGTGCCGTGTTTAAAAACATCGCCACTGGGGATACTAAGGCGGTCGGGCGTGGCGCTGGCCACCCACCCCCTCGTGTGCTGTTCTGGCCTTCATAGGTGCTCGCTAACAGCACTTGCCTCAACAGTATGCTAAGGCTATACGGGGGATCTTTGGGGGGGGGGGTGTATGGGGGGGTTAGGAGGGGGGATGGGATAAGAAGTGTGGTGGTGGTGGGTGGGGGAGGGGTGTCAGGATATTCTGCTGAATCGGCACACTGGGAGCAGGTGACCACGGCACATATCGAGTCCTGGATTCCGTTCACGACTTCCATCACGCCCCCCCCCCCAGTCTCCCTCCCCTCCCCCAACCCTGCAGCCCCTCCACTCCTCCCGATGCGGCTCCTGGGCACTCTACTCCCCCCCCCCAATTACGTGTTGATCGATATAATGATTGATCAGACTGATTGATTGGCTGACTGATGCTCGTTCTCACTGTGTGGCGCCAAGGACAGAGCAGGGGCGACGCAAAGACAAAGAGCCCCCAGCACGGACTTTCACAGGCGGTTGGGGCAAGTGCGCGTGCGTGTGTTGAACTTCTTTCGCACCGTACGTAGCCAACCGCGCTCGCAGGAGGTTCCAAGTGCTGCCAGCGAGCTCATATGGAGACCACCACCAGGTGTTCATTAAAGGCTGAGTCGACCGAGCGGGAATCGAACTCCCGCTCACCACTTCACTCCACACACAGCTCATCCGTAAAGCCCTCAACAGACTGTTGGGACAAGTGCTGTCAGCAGGCCGGCCGCCTTTGTCTCCCGAAGTGGGGATGACATTTGAGGCTAGGGGAGGACCTAAGAACTTGTTCAAGAAGATATCCGTGGCTGATGTTGACCGCGACGAGCGTAAATCGAACTCGGGTCGCCTGTGTTCGTGGCGCAGCGCAGCGCCCTAACCGCTGCACCACCGCTCTCCCCCCCACACTACACAGGACACCCCCCCACGCCTCCCCACGACACAAAACTGCCGAGTCGGCGTCTCTGGAGTCGACGAGGAATATCTGCTACTGCTGCCGCTGCTACTGCTGATGCTGCTGCCGCTTCTACTGCTGCTGCCACCGCCGACGTGGCTGCAATTAGCGCCGAGACGAGGGAAAGGTCGTCCCAGGATCGTTTGAGATATCGCTCGCCACTGATGTTAGCCGTGACCGGGAATCGAATTCAGGCGGCCCCGGTTGGAGTGCATTGCGGTAACCACTGCGCCACCGCTCTAGACGTGATTGGTGTTTCGCGATGAGCTGTACTCATCTAGCACCAGGGAGTTATTCAACTCCATTCCTCGGGACCCACGAACATGTTACCTGCGCCCGATGATGGGTAAACGCGCCCATCGTGTTGTAGAGATAATTTATCTGTCTTCAAGTAGTACTAATCGCATATCTGCATTTCTCATAAATATGCAAAATTCCTCTTGATATGCAAATTATTTTGTCAAGGCGCTCTTCGCCCCTCCATCCCAGCTTAAATAGTCGCTCCAAGCCTGGGGTGGGTCATTCAGACTCTTGTCTTCTCGACAGACCTGTTCTCCACCTGAGGACGGCTGCTTGCGTTGTGGCCGAAACGTCGTGAGAATTATTTTATTATGTTTTATTTTTATTATTTTATTATTTCCATTCTACGTGACTTTGCCGAAAGAACCAAGAAGATGAATCCCTGCAGTCACGAAAGCTTTGAATCTAAATTTGTGTATCTGTGTTCCATGCGACGTGGAGAGAGCGAATTCTCAACGTCACCTGGGCCGTGTTTAGCAATCATCAGGCTCATCTAGCGCGGAGGTGGGGGGTGGACTATGAGTGGATTGGTTTGAGACTCACATTTAAACACACACACACAAAGACCCCCCATATAGGCTTAACAGACTGTTGGAGCAAGTGCTGTTTGCGAGCACCTATGAAGGCCAGAACGGCACACGAGGTGGTGGGTGTCCAGAACCACGTCCGGCCGCCTTTGTCTCCCGCGTGACGATGCTTACACACCGCGCACCAGGTACTCATTTGAGGCTGAGTCGACCTAGAAGGAGGCTCAGGACCGGTTCAGATATTCGTCACCGATGTTGGCCGTGAGTGGGATTCGAACTCTGGTCGCCGGGTTTGTAGCGCAGCGCGCTAACCGCTACACCACCGCTCCTCACATTTAACACACGCGCACACACAAGCAAAGACGACCACAAAAAAGAGACGGGAAAGAGTTCGGTAATTTTTGTCAACAAAATAAACGTGATTTAATATCAAACCTCACAATTTAGCGTGAACCACAGACGCGAGCTCGTTGGTAGTTACCTGGGTAGTTACCTGGGTACTGAAGTTACATGGGTCCTGAAGTTACCTGGGTACTTTAGTTACCTGGGTACTTTAGTTACCTGGGTACTGAAGTTACCTGGGTACTGAAGTTACCTGGGTAGTTACCTGGGTACTGAAGTTACCTGGGTACTGAAGTTACCTGGGTAGTTACCTGGGTACTGAAGTTACCTGGATACTGTAGTTACCTGGGTAGTTACGTGGGCATCAGTGATCTGGTTCAGGAGCCCGACGCCAATGTCGAGGCCTGTTGCTGCTGGCCACGAGGAGAGGGCTTCATCAGCAGCAGAGAGAGTTCGTGTCGTGTCGCTGTTCCTCCTCCTCCTCCGTTGGAGGAGCGCAGACCCACAGTGGGTCACTCTGTGGTCTGTAGTTTCTATTACATGGCCGCATTCGCACTACTGTGGCTCGCCTTTAATGTATCTCAGTCGCTAAGTATGTATCTGTCTATGCGCCTCTACGAATCTGTCTACGTGCCTTTGGGCTTACTATTGGTCATATTAGAGTCTACGGGTCTCTATGTGGGTCTCTATGCGGGTCTATGGGTCTCTATGCGAGTCTGTGGGTCTCTATGTGAGTCTGTGGGTCTCTATGCGGGCCTATGGGTTTCTATGTGAGTCTACGGGTCTCTATGCGAGTCTGTGGGTCTCTATGCGGGCCTATGCGTCTCTATGTGAGTCTATGGGTCTCTATGCGAGTCTACGAGTCTCTATGTGAGTCTACGGGTCTCAGTGGCCTGGAGTATGCAGGCGGTGCAGTGGCACAGCCTGTACACTCGATAACCACGTCACTTGACTGAACCTTGGAGGAGCCTTCGTCTGGCTCTATGAACCTCTTGATTTGCCGCGGACCCAATCCTTTGTTTTTGTAACCTCAATCTGGCTGGACGAGGCACAGTGATGCACGATGAACACAGTGGCGAAGCGTGGCTCGTATGGGCACGACATCCCCTGCCCCCTGTCCAAATCGAGCCCCTTTAATTGCTTGGCACCTACCCCCCCCCCCCTCCTGGCCCCCTGCCCCACTCTCTCCGGTCCGTTGGCTCATAGCGCAGTTGCACCGCCCGGACACTCGATCATAATAATAATAAACTCGGGTTTCTATGATGCTTATTTTTTACCTACGTGACTTTACCGAAAAAACCTAAGAGTAGGGATTCCTCTACTTACGAACGAGTTGGTCTCCAGAGGTCTGTTCGTAAGTCGATTTGTTCTCAAGTCCAACTTCACTCCTGTCGATTCCAAACGCGTTCCACGGCGTGTACACTAAACCCGAGCAATGGCTTTAAACGTTGTATAATCTCCTGTAGATGTAGATGCCACTGGTTCTTCATGTTTCGCAGATGTAGATGGCACCACCGTCATCTATTGCGCGGCAGTTAAACTTACGACTCTCGGTCCGAACGGGCAGATGTTCGTATCTCTGAAAGTTCGTAGGTCGAATGTTCGTAAAAGTCCCTGTATTGTAAGCTTTTTAAAACGCTTCTAGAATCGCCAGCAAGCGATAGCTACGCGGCTGCTGTGAATGGCACTCGGCGTGGCCGGTCAGGTGGCGTCGTTAGCGGCCACAGGTACGGTGCAAAAGAAGTTCAACATACCTACATACATACATACGTACCAATCCACTGAGTGCTGTTCCCTCCCCGTCTTAATAGGCGCTCATGAACAGCACTCGTCTCGGTAGTCGATACGGTGCAATGAGTTTTCCTTTGCTTTGTTAACAAAAATATCAAATAACAACAATAATACAATTCATGTACCCAAGAAACCGAGTCTCAAGACCCTTTGCAGGAGGGTAGTGCTAATTCTTGGTAATGTTTGGCCGTTACATTTGAATAGTTCAGAGTGATTTGTCCGTGTAAACAATTACCCGCGAGTTTGATTTCGACAACAATAAGACGCGTTGCTTCGTGCGTTTTCTTCATCCGTCGTGCACATGCCATCATCATCATCGTCATCATCATCGTCATCGTCGTCATCGTCGTCGTCGTCATCATCGTCGTCGTTATCATCATCTTCGTCGTCATCATAATCATCATCGTCGTCGTCATCATCATCGTCGTCATCATCATCATCGTCGTCGTCGTCACCACCACCACGTGCACAACACAAACGAGTGAATCCGCGATCGAGCGCTGAGCACCATCGATAAAACACCGCGTTCGACCAAAACATTCCGCTGATCAGCGCTCACCCACTCGACGTCTTCCCCAGTTCGCCAATCTCCCTCCCCTTTAAGTTACAAACTCGTTACGCGCCGCACGCGCGCCTGACGACTGCTAAACGCATTCGCGCGCAGTTGCAATCCACGTGGCGTGGCGATTAAACACTTACACGGTTTACTCGGCGTGATCATCAACCCGCATCATGACATCAGCAGGCCCATGCCCAACACCACAACAACAATGATGATGTTGATGATGACACCCATCGTGGCGTGGCTTGGCTTGGCATGGCGTGGTATATAATGCGTAGCTCAAGCTGGTTGAAGGGGACCAAATCCGTTGGTTAGTTGATCTGGTTCCATTTTACCAGCTCCAGCAAAGCATCGATCCGGTTCCTGGGCCATTCGTTCTGCTCGACCTTCATCCGCTGTGGCGATGACCTCTTGACCCCTGCGCTCACGCCACTAGTACCAGCATCGCGACCGCACTGTCCTTACTATCGACCAACTACAAACTCAGCGCGTTCGTCAATAGCACCGCACGCGGCCTTCCAAGGAAATATATCTGTCACATGCGACGTTTCGGGCAACACGTCTTCATGGCCCAGAGGCCAGAGATATATGGTGTGTTTGTGTGAGATTGTACGCATGTGTATGAGAGTTAGCGTGTGTGTTTGTACGTGTGTATGTCTTTGTCTATGTGAGTGTGCCTGTACTTCAATGCAAGTGTGCACGTGTATACGTGTGTGTGGTAACGTGTGTGTGTGTTCGTATGTGTACGCGTTCATATGCGTGTTTTTGTAAGTAATTATACACATCTGCCACATAATGAGTAGCAATTTGCCGAGTATATACAATTAACGTATATCGCGTCATGCACAGTAATAGGCACGGTGCGTGATCACACCGGACCGAGTTTCCGTTGCACTCAATAACGAATCGGCCAAACATCCCAATGTAGCAGGAACCTCCCGCAAACGAATCTTGAGACTCAGTTCTGACGATCCTTCGTACATAGAATGCGTCAATCAGCGTAACAATCAACACGTCCCTCAACATCACCGTGCCCGAGAAGGGAAACATGCCTAGTAGGTGACATTCCAGGCAAGAGCCCTATCTGCATGTATGTTGAACTTTTTTGCACCGTACGTAGCCAACCGTGCTAATCGGAGCTGTCTGATAGATAATAAAATACATTTGCATATTCAGCACACGTCAATGATAATATAATCATTGTTATCATTATCATCCAGCTTCAGCCAACGATGATGACTGATTATTCCAGGCTCAGGTGATGCCGATGTAGGACTGGTCCCGGGATCACTCGCCACTGATGTCAGCCGTCGCTGGGACTCGAGTCCAGTGCTCCAGGTTCAGTGACGATTCACGACGATGATGATGATGACGATGCAGTCGATGATGATGACGATGATGATGATGACGATGATGACGACGATGATGACGATGATGATGACGATGATGATGATGACGATGATGACGATGATGATGATAACGAAGATGAAGATGATGACGATGTTGCAGTCGATGATGATGATGATGACGACGATGACGACGATGATGATTATGACGATGATGACGACGATGATGATGATGATGACGATGATGATGATGCAGTCGATGATTATGACGATGATGATGACGATGATGATGACGATAATGACGATGATGCAGTCGATGATGACAATTCAGTCTCAGCCATACATCGCCCAACAACCACACGTCACAAACACACGCCATAACACCAAAGACAAAGATTCCCCCCCTCCCCTATAGCCTGCACAGACTGTTGGGGCAAGTGCTGTTAGCGAGTACCTATAAAGGCCGGCACGGTTTATGAGGGGGTGGGTGGCCAGCACCACGCCCTGGCCGCCTTTATCTCCCCAGTGGCGATGTTTACACACCACACCAGGTACTAATTTGAGGCTGAGTCGACCTCGTGGAGTCCCAGGACCGGTTCAGAAAATCGTCACCGCTGTTGGCCGTGAGCGGGAATCGAACTCGGGTCGCCGGTTTCGTAGCGCTAACCACTACACCACCGCTTCCCACCATCACCACCAACATCAACACCAACCACCACTATACCCCTATACCCAACACCCACCACACTCCACAACCTCACAAACCAACTTTACACTTACTCACCTACTCACTCACCCTTCACTCACTCCCCACTCACCCTTCATTCACTCCCCACTCACCCTTCACTCACCCTTCACTTACTCACCTACTCACTCACTCACTCGCCCACGCACCCTTCACTCACCTACTCACTCACCCTTCACTCACTCTCCCTTCACTCACTCATCCTTCACTCACTCAATCACTCTCCCTTCACTCAATCACCTACTCACTCACCCTTCACTCACTCACCCTTCACTCACTCCCCACTCACCCTTCATTCACTCACCTATTCACTCTCCCTTCACTCACTCATCCACTCACTCACTCGCCCACTCACTCACCCCTTACTCACTCACCTACTCACTCACCCTTCACTCACTCACCCTTTACTCACTCACTCTCCCTTCACTCACTCACCCTTCACTCACTCGCCCACGCACCCTTCACTTACTCTCCCTTCACTCACTCATCCACTCACTCACCCACCCACCCACTCGCCCACTCACCCTTCACTCGCTCACCTACTCACTCAACCTTCACTCACTCACTCACTCGCCCACGCACCCACTCGCCCACTCACCTAGTCACTCACACTCTTTACTCACTCACTGAGCCACCTTCACTCAGCCATTCACTCACCACCCACTTACCTCACCCTATATACTCACCCATTCCTCTCTCGTCGCCTGGAGCATCGCTGCGCCGAGGGGACTCTGAGGTCTGGGGTAGGGGTGAGAGGGGCTGGTGGGGGTGGAGGGTGGGGGCATGGGGGTCTAGGGTGGGGGGGCAGACAAGACAGTTTCACAGAAATGTTAGCATTGCGAAATATTCACCACCACTACGACATTCACTCATCCAGCCGGAGACTCGTCCCACATTTACCCACTCACCCACCCCACCCCACCCACCTACCCCAACCACCTACCCCACTCACCTACTCCACTCACCTACCCCACTCACCTACTACCTCTGCCACTAAACCTCCTCCAGTCCACAATCCACGATTGTCCCGTCTGCGTGAGTGTCGCGATGACAAGTTGAGGTTTCGTCAAGGCCGGGTCAAACTGGCACCCAACATCGATACATACACCCTAATACCAACATCGATACATACACCCTGATACCAACATCGATAGACACACCCTGATATCTACATCGATACACACTCCCCGAGGAAGTGACGTGTCAATGCTCATGTGCTATGTGAAGAAGGCTCATTGCCCGAAACGTTGCCTATTAATTATAGAACGATTTGTGTGTTAAGGCCCCCACAGTGTTATTGACGGATGTGTTTCTCCCGTTGTTGCCTGTGCTGGTGCACCACTGCAGCTGCAGTAGCAGCATCGCCAAACAATATTACTTCTGTTACGATGGACATGCTGCTCTACAAGCGTGACCTCCGCCATCATCATCGTCGGTGAACCAAGTACTTCACCCCCCCCCTGTGGAGTGAGACGCTCCAGCCGATAGAAAGTCCCCCCCCCCCGCCCTCCGCCCCCTCATTGATACACCCCGCGCCACGTCACCGATCGTGATATCGAGTCTCGATCGGAAGCGGCACCCTGATACCGCTTCGTGCGAACGTCGCGCGGTTCGGTGGGGCTGACGCTACGGGGGGGGGGGGGGGCTGGGGGTCGGGGTTTAAAAGCCCCGCCCCCTCCCCCCGGGGGTGCAGGGTGGCTGTGACAATGATTGTTGCTGAGTGTGGATGGGGGGGGGGATCTCTCGTAGCCTTGAATAACAACGGCAATGTTATCGGCGGGCAGCACCCACGGTGAAAGCCGACGCGACACACGAGAGAGAGCACGGAGTGGCCAGCGCCACGCCCCCTTACCGCCTTTGTCTCCCCACTGGCGATGTTTAAGGCCGAGTCGATCTAGGGGAGGCCCAGGACCGATGTAGCCGTGACTGGGAATCGATCTCGGGTCGCCGGGTCCGTAGCACTGCGCGCTAACCGCGACACTACCACTCCCCAAACAAGACAAAGATCCCCCGTATAGCCTTCACAGACTGTTGGGGCAAGTGGTGTGAGCGAGCGGCACCGATGAAGACCGGCATGGCCGAGTCGACCTAGGGGAGGCTCAGGACTGGTTCAGATCGATTGCTCGTCCCACCGATGTCTCCGTGACTGCGAATCGAACTCGGGTCGCCGGGTCTGCAACACAGCGCACTAACCACGACACTACCGCTCCCCACGCACACACACACGTGACTCAGCTGCCTGTGACTGCGTCTTGTGAAATAATAACCCAGGCACAGCTCCCCATAATCAACGCCAGAGGCGGCAGGACACACGGCAGTGCAGTACAACACGGCGTGAGCTTGTATTGCGTATAGATGCGAGCGCCACCTCTAGACGCTCTATACAATGAGCATATCGATTTCAGATAGAGGTCATCAACAGACATGTTTCTACGTGAGTCGATGGGTCTCTGTGTAAGTCTATGGGTCTCTGTTGTGAGCCTGGGTCTCTATGTGGAATTACGGCGTTTTATGTGAGTCTAGCGACTTTATCAGTGTCTTGAAAACTGAACTCATGTGGCAGCGCAATTGAAGCGTAGTTTACTGCCACGTCCGGGTTTGGCACCTCCGTGACAATTGGCAACGTGTTGGCTGTTAGCTGTGACCTTGGATTCACTCCCCAGAAAGATCAGACCTAGTCTCCCCACCCACCCACACACCCCTCCACACACCCACCAACCCACTTACCCACTTACCCACCCAATCACCCACCCACTTATCTACTGACCCATCCACTTATACACCCCCCCCCCCCGCCCATTCATTCAACCAACCATTCAAGCTATCACCCACCAAATTACTTACCCACCAATCCGCCTACGAACCTACCCACACACTCACCCACCCACCTAGTCACTCACCAACACACTCACGCGACCACCCACCTATCAACTGACCGATGCCCCCACTCAGCCACCCACCCACCAACTCACCCCACCCACTCACCCATCGACTCAACCATCAAACCACTGACCCACCCACTCATCCACCAACTCGCTCGCCCATCCACTCACCCACCCTCCCACCCACGGACCCAACCAACCACCCACCCATACGGCCAAATGGCTTCTTAAAGAAACAGCATTAACCTTTCATTGAATATCAATGAAATCCCTAACTCGAGTCATCGCCCCGGGGAGCCTTCGTTTGCAAGTTCTACGCTCGCTGGAGCAGGGGACGCTGCGGCCAAATTGGTTTGCAACGCCCTGGCAGACAACGGGGAAATATTGCATCGGTTTGCTGACTGTGTCACTCCCCTTGCAGACAGGGGCTTCTCCGGGGATTCGCAGTGATGGGAGATGCCCGAAGATTCATCAATTAGGAGCTTAGTTGTCTGCCTGTGTGCGCGCGTGTGTTTGCGTGTGTGTGTCTGTGTGCGTGCTTGCGTGCGCCTGTGTGTGTGTTTGTCTTGGGGAGGCGGTAGTGTAGTGGTTAGCGCGCTGCGCTCTAAACCCGGCGGCCCGGGTTTGATTCCCACTCACGGCCAACACCGGTGACAATTTTTTGAACCGGTACTGGGCTTCCATTTGGTCGACTCAGCCTCGCATGGACCAGAATGGCGAAGTATGGTTAATTTCCATGACCAGCAAAGAGCTGTAAATTATATTTTACATTAATGGAACGTTGCTTTGCCCACATGAGGAATACGGGAATCGATGTATTTTAAACGATCCAATGCTCGATTAAACGGGAACAGACCGATTGCTAACGATACAAAGCTTGATCCGTGCTCGAACACATAGGCACCGTGTATTCAACATATCACAGCCATGGCTGATCCTTGTTACCCTGTTACAGCGCGCCGTCGCTAACACGAGGGCGCTGCGTTTCACCGGCGGGTCGAGTCCGCAACGGAATCGCAGCAGGGGGGCTTGCTTGGAGACCCCCCCCCGCCCCCCATTCTCACGTCGCCCCCCTCCCCAATCTGTTCCGCGTCGGCGCGTGACCACGAACACAGTGAACGCCGCCGTCGCGAGACAAATTGGGCGTCGTTAATTCGACATCGGCTACGATCAGTGGAGCTAAATGGCTAAACAAAGGGCCAGAGAGCGATGCGATGAGATATTCGGGCTCCTAATTTGAGGCTAAATGGACCTAGGGCAGGCCCAGACTCAGTTCGGATGTTCGTCACTGATGATGTTGGTCATGAGGCAGGGATTCAAACTCGGGTCATCGGGTTGCTAGCACAATGTGCAACGAAGACAAAGATCCCCCGTATAGCCTTTCACGGACTGTCGGGGCAAGTGCTGTGAGCGGGCACCTCCTGTGAGGGCAGGCACGGCACACGAGGGGGTGGGTGGCCAGCACCACGCACGCACCGGCACAACACTCACCAGAGTTTGTTGGGAAGCTGATAGAGGATGTGGTGGTGGTGGTGGTGGTGATGGTGGGGCACGGTTGTGTCCCGTCTGAAAACCTATCCTGTTCATCGGGAAATACAAAAACGTCATCACATTAATACACAGAGAGCCGTCCAGGGCAAGCCACGTGCGTGTGTGTCTGTGGTGTGCTCGCTAACAGCACTTGCCCCAACAGTCTGTTCAGGCTACACGGGGTATATTTGTCTTTGTGCACGCAACGAGTGTCAAGTGAATCGTAGTCTGCGGACAATGTCACTGATTTATGTTTAGACAACACAACGTGACCGATTCCTGATATCCACATACACGTACTATATCAGCTCGCATACACGTGGCATGTTTGTTGCTGTTGTTGATATTTGTTAGGAACAACGCTCAGAAGTTGCTAAGCGATAACCGCCAACTGTTGTTCAAAATCGGCTACCGGTTCATAGATGTCACGAGCCGGAAATCGTTTCCGAGTGGAATGTTCGAAATGGAAGAGCGTGGCCGATTTGGCACGCGCAGGCGTACAAACGGCACGGCGGGCTAAGTCACGGCGTGGTACATTCATCGCTCTCGTTTCTCCCCGGTGGCGATGTTTCTCAGTGAGAATTCTCTCCCCACTGCTGGCAGAAGAGGTCTCTACTCGAGGGAGCTCGAGGGTTTTTGGCCTACTCTTCCACGCTGATCAGACATATAGGAAGGGGTTGGGAGTACCCACACTTTACCCCACTGCGCCCCCCAAATACATACAGTCTAACAAAGACTAAGACCCCCCTTATAGCTTTAACATACTGTTGGGGCAAGTGCTGTTAGCGAGCACCTATGAAGGCCGGCACGGCACACGAGAGCGTGGTTGGCCAGCGCCACGGCCGGCCGCCTTTGTCTTCCCGGTGGCGATGTTTAGACACCGCACCAGATACTCACTTGAGGCTGAGTCGACCTCGGGGTCGCCCACGACCGGTTCGGATAATCGTCACTGGTGTAGGCCCGCTGCACTACCACTCCCCAAGCATAACAACAACAACGACCGCTATTCACCACTAAGTGGCGGTGACGTGACACCACGACGCTTGTGCCAGGCCATGTGCACGTTGAGGCCACGTCAATTGTGGAACACCCGCCGACAGGAGGTCACGGGGCAGACCCAGGTGCCACGGGTCCACTGACTGAGATGACTGAGATGACTGGCTGATGCACCACCTCCCCCGATGCACCACCTCCCCAAGCACACACACACGCACACACACACAGCACACACACACACAGCGCGGGGGGGGGGGGGGTGGGGGCGACGCGACACACGGAACCGCACGCTGACACACGCACTATGGGCATGATGTTGGAATTATCCCAAGCGCTTATGACACCCGACTCTGCACAAATAAACACGCGTTCGGGCGCTCGCTGGTCCCCCTCTGGCTTTGGTTAAACGTTAATATCGCCCGAGTTAGCGACTGCGCCTCTCGCCTGCGCTCCGCATGCAACGGGTGGGTGGCTCCGCTAGTCCCCCAAGCCAGCACAAAGGACGACTGTAAGAGTTCATTCTCTCCGTGCCGTCTATAAATAATGCCCTGCCATTATACAAGGAATGGTCGGGGGGGGGGGGGGGGCGGGACGCGGTAGCGGCGGCGCGCCCGCGGTTCGAACTAAAACTAAACTATTTTATTTTTACTAGGCGATGCCCACTGAGCTATACTACGGCTCTTTTTCAGAAGCCATCTGGCTATCACAAACGATAGCTCAACGAAGTGGGGTCTCACCAGGTGCAAATTTAAAGCGGCCGAATACTCGAGACGCACGTTTCTTAGATGTGGAAGGGAAACCCGGAGGAACCGGAGACAAATCCATGCGGCCACGGCGCGAGAGACGCGCGCAAACTTCAAATATACAGCAGCAGCAGGCATCGTCAGGGTCGGGATCGAACCGACGACCTCCCGTATACCTGGCGAGGTAGTTAACATCTCCTAGCCACCGCGATGATGATGAGAGAGACACGCAAACTCCAAATATACAGCAGCAGCAGGCATCGTCAGGGTCGGGATCGAACCCACGACCTCCCGTATACCTGGCGAGGTAGTTAACATCTCCTAGCCACCGCGATGATGATGAGAGAGACACGCAAACAGCAAATATACAGCAGCAGCAGGCATCGTCAGGGTCGGGATCGAACCCACGACCTCCCGTATACCTGGCGAGGTAGTTAACATCTCCTAGCCACCGTGATGATGATGAGAGAGACACGCAAACTCCAAATATACAGCAGCAAGCATTGTCAGGGTCGGGATCGAATCCACGACCTCCCGTATACCAGGCGAGGTAGTTAACATCTCCTAGCCACCGACAAGGGACGACCACATTGGAGCAGGAGCGACGATCAAACGACGGCAGAGGCCATCATCGCGGTGATGGAGGCCAGTCATGTCAGTGGTCATGGTGACGATGTTGATGTTGAAGCGACCTGACCACAAATTACAGCTCAACGAAGCGGCTTATCTACGCGGAAATGTATAGCAGCGTCGCAGAGGTTCGCGGTTCGAATCGGGCTGGCCTCCCTGGTGAATGCTGCGGTGTCTGTGGTGTTCGCCGTCAAGAATCTGCTCCTGCTGCGTGCCGTCTGCGTCGCTCGGGTTGGGCTCCGATGGCCCCATTCCCGTGACGCTCATTCGCAAGAGGTCAGAGGCCTTCGTGTGTGGCCAAATATTTGCAAATTTGAAAAATGACACCGCAAATTGCTCAATTGGGATTTTATGTAAGTATGCATAAAATAAATCTTTGCCCCCCCCTCTCCCGCGACTGCGAAAACTTGGCAGGACCCTCCTGAACAGAATCGGAATTTGTATTTATACCGGAGAACTCCGATGAAATATAAATCTTTTTTCACAAATGTCCAGTAGGGGTGGGTACAGGAGTCACGTGACTCAGTGAGGCTTTCATGGATGATCACGCTTGTTGATGATAATAATAATTCATACTTTGTGTGATGTGATGTGTTCGTGACCACTGATGATGATGATGGTTATATGTTTTTTTTTCACACAGATGCTGAGCAAAACCCAAAACGTCAAGCGGTCAGCAGCAAACAGCATCGTCACCAACACATTCTGACAATTGAGCAAGGTTATAATTGTAAGAGCTGGGGAAAAGAGATGATGATGATGGGAAGGTATTCTTGATGGTGATGCTGACGCTGAGGATGTCAGAGATCATGACTGTGATGATGATCACGATGATAAGGGTGAGGGTGATGCTGCTGCTGATGATGATTTTGAGCACGATGTTGCTGCTGATCATTGCCATGCATCTGATGACGATGATCATCAGTTTTATGACTGTGTTGATTCTGCTGCTGATGGTGATGATTATGCTGCTTGCACTGTTGACCATGATATAAACAGATTATGCTGTTGCTGATTATGATGATGCCGACAGTGATGATTTCCACCAAGATCATTCAAGATGACCTTTAATCCCAACTCTCTTCTGGCTATCATTCCACTATACACCCACCCACCCAACTACACCCACCCACCCACTCACCCCCACTCACCCCCCACTCACCCCACTTACTCACCCTACTCCCACTCATTCCCCCACTAGGCCTGTGCTCAGCACGTTTGGCTATGTACGGCGCGAAAGAAGTTCAACTTACATACTTGCATTCATCACGCACCACACACACCCGAATCAATGAACTCACACATTCAGCCACCCACGCCTCCCCACTCACCCCACTCCACCACCCACACTCACCCTTTCTCACCACCCACACTCACCCCCACACCGCCATCTATTCACCCCTTCCGCACCACGCGGACTCAGCAGAGAACCCGCCCATTCTGACACCCCCTGTCTCACCCCACATTCACCCCACACCACCACCACTCACCCCCCTCGTCTCTCATTGCACCATCGTTCATCTATCTCCGCGTGTCGCAAGAGACACGGGCCGGGTAGAGCGCGTGGCGTGAAGGGGGCGACTCGCGCAGCACACACAGAGACACACACACACAGAGACACACACACTCACACACAGAGACACACACACTCACACACAGAGACACACACACTCACACACAGAGACACACACACTCACACACAGAGACACACACAGACACACACTCACACACAGAGACACACACACTCACACACAGAGACACACACAGACACACACTCACACACAGAGACACACACACTCACACAGAGACACACACACAGAGACACACACCTTCACACACAGAGACACACACACTCACACACAGAGACACACACTCTCACACACAGAGACACACACACTCACACACATAGACACACAAACACACACTTATACACAGAGACACACACACTCACACACATAGACACACAGACACACTCTCACACACACAGACACACACTCACACACATAGACACACAAACACACCCTCACACACAGAGACACACACACACAGAGACACACACCCTCACACACAGAGACACACACACTCACACACAGAGACACACACACTAACACACAGAGACACACACTCACACACAGAGACACACACTCACACACAGAGACACACACTCACACAGACACACACAGAGACACACACACTCACACACAGAGACACACACTCTCACATACACTCACACACCGAGACACACACAGACACACACTCTAACACACCGAGAAACACACAGACACACACTCTAACACACCGAGACACACACAGACACACACTTACATACAGAGACACACACTCACAGAGAGACGCACTCACAGAGACACACTCATACACACAGACAAAAAAAGATCCCCATATAACAGACTGTTGGTGCAAGTGGGCTGAACGAGCACCTATGAAGACTAGAACGGCACACGAGGGGGTGGGTGGCCAGCCCCACTCCCGACCGCCTTTGTCTCCCCAGTGGCGATGTTTACACACCGCACCAGGTACTCATGAGGTCGAATCGACCTGGGCGAGGAGGCCCAGGACCGATTCAGATCATCGTCGCTGGTATTGGCCGTGAGCAGAAATCGAACTCGCTTCGCCGGGTTCGTAGTGCGGAGCGCTAACCGCTACACTATCGCGTCTCACT